TCGGGTTGATTGGTGGGGATAGGGTAACGGAATGACCTATCGTCGCCGAGATATCCAGACTAGGAGGCAAGGCCCTAGTAAGATTCCGAGTTAGTCGCACGCGAGCGCTTGAACCGAGAGGTTGAAATAATCTCTCGGTGTGCTGGAAGTGGTGGATGGCTGAAGAAGCCATGGTAAGGAGTTTACTCAGCGTAGCCTGGTGCATAACTGTGGCGGCGAATATAGGGGGATGCCCCTGCATCCCCCGCGCGTAAATCTGAGTCATTTCGGAACGTGAGGTAACGACTTCGTCGTGTTCGGCGTCATCTAGTCTCGGCGGAACGATTCGAGGCGTATGGGCCCGTGGGCCTGGAGTCGAGAAATCCTCCTGTCGGTCCGACCATACGCCGACGGTCTAGTACTACCCGGAGGCAGTGACGCGCGATGACCAAAGCGGTAACTGGTGGTGGAGAGAGTGGGTGGTCGTAGCGTGGGTAACGTAGTTCCACCCTGGTCAGATCAGCATCTCCACGTCCCAGGCTCTGAGGAGTCCCGGCTGAATCGCAAATAGCTCGGAAACTCTCCCGAGTAGAAATACTTGGAGAGAGGAAGCATGCCGGAGGAGTCGAGAGACCCTCCGGAGAAAAGATGAATCCCATTCAGTAGGGAACTCGTGCCGCGAGGCATAATCCCCGGCTTGCAAAGGCCGTGGAATGTGACGGTAATACTCCTGGTGGACCTCGCCCACTCTACCGTATCACGCTGATGTTAGCTAGGCAACCCATTGTCCAGCCCAAAAAATCCTCTGAGTGGACGAGTTTGCCTCAGAGGCCGGTTTTCGTCGAACCTCCCGTGAAGATTCGGCTGGCGCCCGACTATTGAGCGATAGAGACGGCTAAAAAGTAGTTTGGATTTTTCCTAGGTGAACAACCCGGGAAAATATCCTTACAAATTTTATACGCGATCCGTATAGAAAATTTCTATACGATGCTAATTTATTAACAACGATAGCTATATTCATTCATAAAAAATGCAATTATCAACTTGTTCAACCCTATTTGGTGGAACCTTTGCACTATTTTCTACTGCGTAGCTTTAAGCTATTAAACAATATTACATCAGAGTACAAGGGCACAAATTTCGTTTTCGACGAATATGAAGTTTACAGGCCGAGCTGAAGGCGAGGTCTGTTCTCACATTCGTGGAAAACGAAGTTTATGTCCGAGTGATCTATAATATTTTATGTCACGCCGTGCCATAAAATATGGCGGTGTGAAGCGCAGCGTACGATAAACTCTACATATTGCACAGCGTAACATAAAAAACAATAACTTCGACTTGGCTCGACTTTATTATCCATGAACCGTTTTATTTGTATTAATTTCAGATAGGATGTGTGACCAAAGCCTGGACTTATTTTCTTCCGAAATTCAAATCGAATCTCTTGGAGCTACCAATGTACTCATCATACACTAGTGAGGGACCTCATGGCCTCAAATATGCCGAAAGGTAATTGCCTGATAAAAATTACGATCACCGACCCGAGGTCCAAATAACGTTCTGGCAAATAACTGGCTGTGGGCGATGCTTAATTTTCTCATTCGTGAGATAGTATATTACGTCACGAGGTAAAAAGAAAGTTTCATGGCAGACATAAGTAATGCTATGTGCCGGAATTTTTTTACTGGTTGACGAACAATGTTTTTTTATTATTACGTCCATCGGTAATGCTTCACGGAAGCTGTGCGACCGTGAACCTCTGCCTTACGGACAGATGGACAGAAAAAATATGAATTAATTTAGTGATGAAATATTCTTTACAGTCAGGATCGTACAGCCAATCCCGAAGAAATCATGTAAGATTACCTTTAAAAGAGTGAAGATCTCTCACCTGAATCAATTGTTAATAATTCTGTAATTATTTCAAAATTTCTATTCAAGAGATAAAAATAAAGCTGACGTTTTCATTGGAAAAGGAAGACAGTATATTTGTGCGATGTTATTAATTCCTCTACGCAAACAGGCCTCAAAATTTATGATATTGTTCTCCTCTATTCTTTGAATCATTTATTGATAATGAATGAGATGTGCTCACTGTGAGATATTTCTCAATTACACGGAAAACAGGAAACGGTGAAAGCCCTAAGATCGCAGGGTTTCTGTCTGAGATTCACACGAATGGCGCGCTTCGGGGGAAAAACCCCGGCATTCCACCGATTCCGCATGTACATAAAAACAAAATGGTCGTATGGATTGAATCATGTGGTGATTCGTGAATGTCTCAAATTCATTAGGAGAAATACTGATAACTTGTAGAATACTTTCCATTTATTCGCTGGGAATAGGCTAATAAGAAACAATACATTCTTCCCGTTGTTTTTCATATCTTTCTTTGTCAGAAACAAAGAGAATAACTGAAGTATATTGAAATATATAAAAGAAGTGTCTCAAAGTGGAATTACGGGTGGCAAACTACCAGATCTTATAAAGTAATTCGACTGATTTTTCAACGTGCCTAGGTGCTCCTATACATATTAATTTCTTATTGCTACGTATTTATACCCGTTGCATTGGGTAACGAGGCTAGAAACAGTACTTACATCTGTCCTAGAAATTAATTCAAAGTCTGTCTTAACATTTTCAACTCTTTTATGCCTGGATATGATTATCGAAAAATGAACACTTTATTTTGCATCCCACAAATACCATTGTTTCATGCAAACCACGCAGGATTAATCGAATTTAAAAATAGAGGTCCTTCATCCCGAAAAATTATCAATACATCTCCAGGATGGTATTTTTTTCTCAGGTATTGTATCCAGGTGAAGTTGCATGTAACATTGGGAATTTTCTCATCGATATTCTTAGGCAAAAAAGAGAAATATGGTAACTTTGAGAGAGTAATTCTGTAAGATGGGCCACATTTTACTCTTTCAGTCGGTATTTCCCGTTCAAAAATCTCGTTCAATCTGATCTGAAGATTGAGAGCCACAGTATGGACCAAATTTTGCCTCGACATCGATACTTTTGATGCAATTTTGGATTCTCTATATTTTCGTTCGGGTTGCATGCTCGAAAATAGTAAAACTGGGCCGGCAAGTTTCAGAATCCTTGAGTAGTTTAGACAGAAATATTATTTAGTGTTGGACTAAACTAACCTGACACTCCCTCCCTTTGCCGATTCTGTAGTAATACAAAGTTTTAACATATGATATAAAAATTATATTGAAATGAATTAGGTAGAGTATATAATCCGCTTTATCACGGGTAAAATCATCCAGCGAAGTGGTCGTTGTTATTTTAGCCTATGGACTCTAGTTTTTCTCTGTAATTAGAATAAACAGAGATTAATCATACTATATTATTAATTATTTTCATTCAAATAAACATCTTTAACTAACTCAATATTATATCTCCAAGATATTTGTGAGCCTCTGAAGGTAAGGGTTTGGTTAAGCAATCTGCTAAATTCGCCTTGGTAGATATCCATTCTGCTTACATTTTCCCCTCATTCACATACTGTTTGACATAATCTCCATGTGAGTCTGCCATGTATTTCCTAACTCCATTGCCTTCTCTTTCTTTAAGGTCTTTCTTAATTTGTTCTAAATTATCGTCTATCATCTAGAGCTTACGGCTTCCATCTCTTTTGGTATAGTCTACTGCAGATTTACTGGAAAGTAGAAATTTTTGAAAAATGCAAAGAAATAAAAACGAAAGCCAAGTCAGGAATGTCAAATAAATGGATATAGTACACAATCAGATTTCTATAAAAGAAATAGATCTCAACAAAAAAAAGACTTCCAAAAAATTCTCCATAAAATGAAAAATCAGTAGGAGCAGGACCAACGTCCTTGGCGCGGATCAGCAGATGGAGGATTGGATTCATATAGACAGTGAGTAGAAAAAATCCGCGCCAAGAACGTTGGTCCTGCCCCTACTGATGTTTTATTTAATGGAGAATTTTTTGAAAATCCTTTTTTTATTGAGATCTATTTTTCTTATAGAAATCTGATTGTGTACTATACCCATTTATTTGACATTCCTGACTTGGCTTTCGTTTTTATTTCTTTGCATTCCTCAAAAATTTTTACTTTCCAGTAAAAACCAAACAAAACTTTTTCTTCGCGCAGTTTTTTTACAAAAACATATCTTTTTGTTTTTTAGGGAGATTTCACTCATTTTTTCAAAATAAGCACAGAATTATTTTGATATCATAAGGAAGTTGTTCTTTTCAATTCAACTCATTCATTTTTTCACAAGATAGAACATCCTTTCAATTGTTAATTGAAAAAAAAACAAACAATTCTACCCCAGATTCATTGTTGTTACCAACTCTTAATCATTGATTCAGATTTTAGACTTAATTTGTTTCCATTCAATTTTTTCTTTTATTTTCTATGGGGATTGTATTTTTTGGTGAGATGGATTAATTTCCTTTCAGGAACAGCCGAACAAGATGTTCGGATGTAAAAATTTTGTAAAAATGTTGACTTGATAGATATTTTTATAAAAGCATTTGTTTTTGTTTTTTATTTTGAAGATATCGCTAATGTTATTGAAATAGTTACGAAACTGTCTTCTTCTTCCTCGCATCTCACCGTAACCTAATTCAAACAATTGTCCCCACGAAAATGAAAACTGTTATCACTCGAACAAAAGTAAATATTTTGTTCTAAAATTTATTTATCCACGGACATTTAATAGTTTACCATACAATTTCTGGCAAAGAGTAGTTCTGCTAGATTTCAAACATAAACTAATGACCTCACAAACTGTCTTCATCTCCGAGGTCCAGTTATATATATGACGAGAAGGAAATTCGAATTTTCGCAAAAAGAAAAAAACAGAACACTGAGTTAATTTTTCGTTTTACTCTTATAAGTAATTTGAAGTAAGAATAAAATGTATCCCGTGATTCTCTAGAACATTACAACCCACATTTGCATGCACTGGTGGCAACACTAACGTTGGCTGTAAGGCTCAGTTGGACAGGCGGTGCCAACGTTGTAACTTCATTCTCCGACTTTATAATATGAATCGCGAGAATATGAATTCTCGCCCGTTGCTATGCGCGTATCTTTTTTACTGTAAACTCAAACAATACAATAGTTACACCATTGAAAAGCTCATAGGCGTTTTATATAATGTAACTAAAGACAATTTTCCGAATTGTCGTCACGTTTTTACTATACCGAATGTTGATCATTTAGAGGTAATGGAGGGGGAAGTTCTGTCGTGTATAGATACGCGGTGCGCTCGGCCACATGTTTTGTACAGTTGGAGTCAAAACTTTTCTTGGCCGATATGTTACCGCGTATCTCGATCGGTTATCAGACCAAATCACTGCGGGGAGAAGTGTGTGCCCAATTACATGTCTGATTGCTTTGTTTAAGGAACTGATTTCTTGAGAAGCTTCACTCATGGCGATATACTCGGCTTGGCAAGTGGAGAAAGTCACATATATTTGTTTATGACTTCTCCATGCCACAAAATCGCCAAATGCTCTAATGACATGTCCACCAGTAGACGACGAATCGTCATGATCTGTAAAGCTTGCATCCGTAAATGCCTCTAAATTCTCTGTTTCACCTCTGAATTTCAACCCTGCATTGGCAGTGCCTTTCAAATATCGAAAGATTCTCTTAACATCTTTCCAATCCTCTTCTGTTGGTTTCAATTGTTTTCTGGCTAGCTAATTCACTGCAAAAATATATCACGACGAGTCGCGTTCGCCAGGTACATAAAGCTCCCGATAGCCTCTCTATATAGAGCCTTTTTGATTTCTCTAGTCTCGCCTTTAGGCTCTCTTTGTGATTCCTCTAATTTACTTCTCTTAATTCTGTTGCTCACCTGTCGAGTTACCATTGGTGTATTCTGTGGATTGCATTCTTTCAAATTGAATTTTCTTAGCATACTTTTTAGATATTTTTCTTGGTGAATCATTATGTATTTTTGATCTTCATTTCTCTCTATGCTCATGCCTAAGAAGCATTTTGGTTTTCCCAGATTTTTCATCTCAAATACTGAGCTCAAATGCTCTATGACCTCTTTAAGTTCTCCTTCATCATTTCCTGCTAACAGTATGTCATCTACATACAATGTCAGAACAACCATCTTTCCTTCTTTTTTCCATGTGTACAGACATGGTTCGTGTAGATCATTCTCTAAGCCTAGTTTTTGTATTTCTTCTGAAAATCGCTTGTTCCACCTCTTTGGACTTACTTTTAGCCCATAAAATGCTTTTTCCACCTTGCACACTTTATTCTTCTTAGCTTCTGCATCTATCTCTAAGCCATCTGGAATTTCCATATAAATATCTTTCTCTATCAACCCATTTGAAAAGGCTGTTTTAACATCTAGTTGATAAGCTTTTAACTCATATTTATTTATGATTGAAATTATCGATCCTATGACTGGTAGCCTAGACACCGGCGCATACGTTTCTCTTAGGTCATAATCATTTCTATCTTTGAATTCTCTTATTACTAGCCTAGCTTTGCATCTCGTTGATCCATGCGCTTCTAGTTTTCTCTTAAAGACCCATTCTGAATCGATAATATTAGCTCTTTTTCCTTCTTTAGTTATTTCTGATCTGTTTACCATTGTCCATACATTATTATCAGTTATGGATTTCAGTTTCTCTTTTACAGCGTTCTGCCATTGGTATTTTTCTCTCGTTTCCATTGGCTCTAAATATGTCACTGGATCTTCATTGATATTTGCCATAGAGCAATATATCAGTTCATTTTCTCTAATATGTCTCTCTTGACTACTCTCTACTCTTAACGATTTAGAATCAATTACTCCATTTGATATTCTTGTATAACTTGTGTTTTCTATCGGTGTTCTAGTGTACGAGCCTTCCATTGCTCTTCAGTTCCCAATCTTCTTTTGCTTCTTGTCATTGGCCCGGTATCAGTTTTGTGCTCTTCATCTTCTACTCTGTTGTTT